TTATTTTTTGTATAAAATATAAACTTACAGTTAAATAAGTAAAATTGTTTCATGCCAATGTTCTATAATGTTTTGATCTGAAAAATAAATATTTATTCGATTTTGTAAATACTGATAAAGGTTAATTCATTATAATTGTCAGGTTATATGTTAAAAAAATTCTATATTATCGAGAATCGGAACCGAACATCGAGAATTGGTACACGTCCATCGACAAATGGTGATTTTGCTCAATTTACATTTAAAAACAATTTTTATCTTACACTATAATTTATTTTAGAAAAATAAATAGGAATATTAAACATTATTAAATTCTTCGTCTCACTGCACAAAATTCAAAATTTTAAGTACATTTACTACTGAGAAAAAGAATATCAAAGTCACATGTTGTCTAAAATCATCGACAATTGGTACATCTACCCTGATTTCAGAAATTTTTTTTGAAATTTTTTTTAATATTGAAATAATAGGTTAATTGACAAAAATAAATAAATATTTTTTTGCATTAAATAAATATTACTTGAGTGAATTATAAATGATCTTCATTTAAATTCCAAAATTATTGATTCAATTACAGTTTACTTGGTTAAAAAATATTTATTTGATGTTGTTCCTTATGTCTGACACTTTGTAACAGATTTTCATAGCCTCCCTTGGTCAAGCGTGTCTACACGGAGAGAAAAAACGAGCCTTTACAGCATGGACCTATGTATGCTCTCTTCGTACGCGCCTCTATCGTCCATCTTCGGTACCATCTCTTGCTGCAGTTGCTCGGCTTCTTACTATTTTAGTACGGGCAAGGGAAAATATAGTATAAGGTCGTTCCGAAGATGGACGGTAGAGGCGCGTACGAAGAGAGCATATATAAGTCCATGCTGTAAAGGCTCGTTTTTTCTCCCTACTGAAAATCCCTGTAAAAGATCTTGTACAATTTCCTGTACAGGATCAGCAACTGAACTTGTACAAGTTCTGACCAGTTTCTGTACAGGAAAATGCATACGAATTTGGAACAAGTTCATGTGTGAGAACTCGTACAAGATCTGGTGCAAGATCTTGTACAAGAAAATGTACATGATCTTGTACAATTTGATTTATAAGTACTTGTACATGAACACGTTCATGTTCTTGCGCATGTATAGTTGTAAAACTTTTTTAAAATAAAATTTGAGGTTTTGATAACTTTTAACCACTAAGATTCGTAACTCATGCATGCTAAAAACTATTGGGCAGCTGTAAAGGTTAAAGTAAACTATTGCGCAGCCTTTGAAGTTTTCAATTTTTAGTAAAGGAAAACATGAATTAACATGTGCAAGTATCTTTCTTGTACAAGATCTTGCACAACAGGTGAAAAAACAATATTTAAGAAAATTAAATTTAATTTATAAAAGAAATTTAACTTATATCAATTGTACAAAATTTTTTAGAAATAAAAACATGAGGGTGAAACCTCATATAAAATTAAATTTTTTCAAAATTTATTTACTTTAAAGTATAATATACACTGAAACTCCCGAAGGTGAGAATGGAAAAGACTTGGTTCTCACCTTCAGAATTCGACCTTCAAACCGTTTTGCGGTCAAATATTGTCATTATTGTCATGTTTTCAGAGTGCTGGTGTCCGTCCCGCTTATCCATTTATCCCCCCGTCGCGTTCTCACCTTCAGAGAACTCACCTTCGGGAGTTCCAGTGTAATTAATATAATTTTTAAATTTAATTGAGAAATTTTTGAATTATACTAGGTACTTAAAAAGTAGTTAATGATACTAGGTTTTTTAATTGCAATTGTCACGTCACCGTAACTTTAATAATCATATTATAAGAATTTTTTTTTAATTTATACCGAGTAGCGTTTTTCTTGCGACAAACACCTGTGTTTTTGTTACGCATCTAAATACCTTTCTCTTAAATGTAAAACTTTCGCCCTTTTGAGCGCAACTAAACATCTTTCTTTTATATATAAAAGACCCCTGCGTTTTGTATCCTCCTACGTCTATACATATACTGTATTTCTAAAACATACAAATAAAAGCGAGAAACCTTTTATGACACAAGAAGAGCACAGACCCCACGAAACTCTCTTTCTAATTTTCCTTATGTGCTAAAATCAGACGAACCCCTGTAGTATTGCTACATTAGAAGAGCATAGACGCTCCGATTATGTAATAAATGCTCTCTTTCTAATTTTCCTTATGTGCTAAAATCAGACGATCCCTTGTGGTATCACCACATTAGGAGAGCACAGACGCTCTCCTACTGCTGCGAATAACCGTAGTCGTACTCTTTCTATTCTGTATTAGAACGGTACAAACCTCTCCTTTAACGTTCAACTGAGAGAGAAGGACTCTCCTCTTCATACATATTACATCAAGCTCATTTTTGGTACCAGTCGACATCTTCTAGTTCAAGGGCATAATTTTCTTATACGAAAGTTAAAGTCAAGTGTCAAAACCCTCTACATTAAACGAGGATCTTTTCTTCTCATTATATTGGGCAATTATCCATTCTTCCTTTTTTTGGAAGAGACTCATTGTTGGGAGTTTCATCACGCCTAATAGAACTCCGGATCTGCGGTTATACCTGGGCCTGTCAACCTTCCTGACGTCATAAATTCACGCTGAAACCAGCTCTTTTCCTGTGACAAGAAAGGACACAGCAGTGGTCCTTTTTCTTTCAACACACCTTCTACTGAATTTTAAGGTAAGTGTTTTATATTCTCACTCCTAACTTTTTCTAAACTTGTCGTATATTTGTAGTAACCCTTGCATTCCTTATTTCAGTCGAATGCTGAATTCTATTTCCTGGGTTGGTTGGTTCGAGATTCCCTCTCTTTCATAAGAACGAATTGTTTTAACTAAAAATACTTGTCTAAATAAAATTGTAACCTAATTATAAAATAATTCACTATTCTCTTTCTTTCCTGTACCCTTAGTTCAGAGCCTTCTGCTCTGTAAATGAAACAGGTGTACCCTGAATCACCGAAGCGGAAATAAATAAAAAAAAAATTTACTTTCTAAAGTTATTTCTTATTTTTGAGACGTAACACAATAGACAAACGGAGCGCGTAGCTTTCAGTTTAAAATCATGAATTGTTCTATTTTAATATATTTTAATTTGATTCAAAAAATATGTTATTGTTTCAAATAAATTAATGTCAATAGCATCGGCACTATTGAATCAATAGTGCTTTTTTCTCAGTGTACGCAACCCTGGAATCATGTCACAGAAGAAGAGGTCTCAATGACTTAATTTTTTAAACTTTTTGACAAGAATTTCATAAAGTACTCTTGAAATGTGTCTCTTTGATGTGGAAAAAAATTAAATAAAATATTTCATCTCTTAGAAAAAAATTCGTAAAAATGTGCTTTTTTTGGCCTGCGAAATCCACATAACCCCTTAAAGAGAAAAGGAATGTAATTCATAAATTATTCTTTAAAAAAATATCAGGTGTACAGGTACCTGATAAAAACTCTTCCTGAGGGGAATTACTTCGCGTCCTGAAGGAGTTTTACTACAATTTTTTATTCTAGAACAATAAACCTTTTTTTTGTTTTTACACCTTAAAAGCTAAAGAAAGACGCAGGTCTTGAAGAGAGGGTCGTATTCAAAATGAGCACATAACACGAAATTAATGATAACAAATTAATCACTAAAAGAATAGCAACAAAAAGTAATTGACTTAAGCAAACGCCAGTCAATCAATTAATTCACACTAATAAACAAAATTATAATAATATTAATACAAATAATCGAGGAAATTGAAATATTTCAAATCTTTCTAGAGCTAATGTTACTTCAATTAAGAATAGATTAGGGTCAGCCGGGGTAAATCCGAACGGGGGGTAAATACGAACGCTAATTATTTCAGCTTAATTAAAATTTTTAAAAATAAGTTCGATATGAGAATTTTTACCTAATGGTTTGTTGAAAAAAGTTTTTCAGGATCTTAATAAAATTTGGTATTCTACGGTTTTTGGGGTTGCTAATTACCAATTTGAAGTCAGTTTTTCAAAATTCAAAATGGCGGACGAGAGTTAAAAAATTCATTGGATTCGCTCGAAAATTGTTACTCGGGGAGTTTCAGGGTCACTGATTACGAATTTGGAGTTAGCAAATTTGATCATTTTTAAAAATAAGTTTTAGAAAAGTCCGCCATTTTGAATTTAAAAAATTTGACTTTTATTTTTGTATTTACATTCAATCACTCCAAAATACTTTCTGTACCAAGTTTTGCAAAAATCCGTTATGATTTGATAAAGTTATTGAAGGTTTTAATTGTGTAATGCATTTTAATTTTTAACCTGTTTGATTTTTGTATTTATATATGATGCATTATTACATAAAAGGTTTGTTATCGTATTTTTTTGAGTTTTTATATAAGTTTAACAATTGCAATACTTTAAATTTATTTTCCCTAAGATTTTTCTGAAATACAGTGGCGTTCGTATTTACCCCGGTATTTTAGGGAAGTTGCAAAGTATCGAGGTAAATACGAACGCTAAGTTTCCTGCGATTGTAATTTATCAAAAATTTTTGCTACCCCATAAAATTGTTCTATGGAAGTAAAGTAACAACTTCATGCACCAGAATACCGGAAGTATTTTTTTTTAAAGAAAAAACTTATGTTATTGTTGAAACTTACTAAAAGCGTTCGGATTTACCCCGGTTGACCCTACTTACATTAATTTTAGTCGATAATTTGTATATTTTTTATGTTAATGTTATATGTTCTTTCATCTGTATTACACTGAAAAACTTTTATTTTATTCAAATATTTGATTACTGGACTACATTATCAAATAAATTTACACTTGAAGAAAATTATTTTTGTTTGAATTAAATAAATAAAAAATAAATAAATTCTTGTTTATTTTGTTTTTAAAAATGGATTTTCTAAAAGAAACGAGTCTTATTTTTTATATAAGATGATTTATTCTTTTTTGAAGACTAATATTTATTTTCTGTAAAAAGACCTTTCATTTTTTTCTGCTTTTACTTTCAGAGAGCGTTTCTTCAAAGTAGATCGGTCTCTCTGGTTGACATGTACATTGACAATTCCGAACCCAGTGAGAACGTGGGACAGATCCAGTTCAGCTTGGAGTATGATTTTCAGAATACTAACCTCATCGTTAAAATTATACAGGTAATACTTTTCTGCCATAGGTATATAATTGAGCCGCTGGATTCTAGAAGGGTACATAAATTTTTTCTGCCGGAAAACGAAGTCCCCTGGACACTCAAAATTTATTTTTTCGACTTTTAATATTTTTCGAGCATATTCTTATACAGAATTCGATTGCATTATATTACGTAGCAAACACATACCAAACGTTCAGCCGCTCGCGCAACTTCAAAGTTTAAATATTCGCCATTTTATTATTAATTGTTCAATTGCATTGTAACTTTCCAGAAAACTTCTTTGGACCTTAATGAACAACTTTCTCACTGGAAGTTTGTTGCTGGTGAAAATTTACGAAAATTCCTCACAGGGTGAAAATTGCAGTTCATGAATTTTGCAATGTCTCATTAAAAAATTAATGACTTTTTAATTTTACTCAAAACAACTTTCTTCTTTTTCAGTCACTCGTAGAATATAATAACACGTATTTTCGTTTTTGTTTCATTAAGAAATTCGTAAAATTGTCTGAGCTGTCGCGAGTTGAAGTCAGAAAAACAATGAAAATTTTCTTTTAAAAAAAAAACAGTTTTTGTCTTATATTTCGAAAACGGAAAAAGATGGAAAATTTGTTATTGATAAGAAAAAGATGCGCAATCGAATTCTGTATAAAAATATGCTCGAAAAATATTAGAATTCGAAAAAATGAATTTTGAGTGTCTAGGGGATTTCGTTTTCCGCCCGAAAAAATTTACGTACCCTTCTAGAATCCAGCGGCTTAATTTATTTCCATATCGTTTTCTGTTGTTTAATTTCAATTTATCAATATTCTACTCACTGACAAAAAAGTTTAGTTAGAGTTACTGATAATACCATGATTATTTTTGATTAGTAAAATATGCAGCTCCTAATTAATTAGTTAGGGTTATCATTTTTGTTAAGTAAAAGTTCGTATAAAAAGAAAATCTGGAAAATTTTAATTCAAAAAAGAAAAATCGTCTAAAAAATAATTATTTCTATTAAAATTCTTTAAAATGAAAATTCTAATTAATTATTTATATTGGATAATTATGCTCCTCCTCTCGAATAATACTAAAAACGATTTTCCAAAAACTACCCTTAACTTCAAAAATTATTCCCTTAAAATTAAAAGTTTGTGTTTTGAAAAATCTTACTCATAGAAATTTGGAGCTAATTTAGTTTATCTAGAAAATTTTTATTTACTTTGGTCTTTTTTACATATTGAATAAATTTTATTTTGTTATTTTTAACATTGACAATTTTTACCTACAAGTATAGTTCTGATACAGACTCGATTTTTTCTAATAAAAGAGAGTAAAAAAACATTGGAGATTAAAAATGAAAAAAGATGTAAAGTCAACGTAACAGAAAAAAATTTAGAACATTTTATGAAATTGTTATCTTTTGTTATCGTAATATTTTAATAAAATGAAAATTTAAATATGCCGGGTGAATTCGCGAATCAAAAATAAATAAATTGAGATAAATATACGATCACATAGTAAAATTATTGATTGGCTAACTCAGTCCCAATCTGGTTAAAACAGAGGGGAGAGTTCGACTGGAAGAAATTTTCAATTAGACAAACTAAAATAAAATACCGAAATAAAAATTTAATACATTTATTATGAATAACAATTATTTAAATTTTTGAAATACAATTTGAAATTACAATTTCAATGGAAACAAAAAAAAGGGAATTAACAAAGAAAATGGGGGTTGCTCTTTCGACCGAATTATCCAAGAAAATAATGGGTCTAAATTCAAAGAGGACTAAATAAATCACAACATTGAATTACATTATGAATGGATTTAAAATTAAACAGACATTATTAAATCGGAGAAAATTCAAGTAAATAAATAAAATTCAAATAAATAATCTTTCTTCATTAAAAGTCAAAATTTGTCTCACCTGAATATTCGCAAAATTACTGTCTTCTAATTCACAATTAATAAATTAATTTACAAATACTTTATTAATAAGAAAAGAATTTAAGTTAAACTTTTTAACACTATTCTTCTCTGAAAGCCACCAAACGAAAGAGTTCGAGTTCTGTTTTCCAATCGTTTTATAGATTTTTCTTAGCAACCAAGATTTGTTGATTTTTGATCTTCAATTCTTTTAATGAAATGAATATTATTTTCCTTGTATACCAAAAATTGTTGATTCTTGATCTTCAAATATTTTTAAATAAATTTTTCGAGAAGTGACTAAGTAAAGTGAATATAGCTTCAGATAACATAAGATGATCCAATTTTCTTAAATTTAAATTAAATAATTAATTCTTCTGAATTGATGAAAGATTTCTATCAATTCGGTCGAAAAGATGTTGAATTATTATCTTTCTTCTCCAAAAATATCTTAAAAACAGAATAACTACTAGATTTTTTTTTAATTCTAGCATAAAAATATTTAACGATGATTTAAGGGTCGGAGATATAGAAGTCTTCGCTTACAAATAGGTAAGCCAAAGATTGACAATAAACCTTCTCAAAACAATGGAATTTTCCTTGAATCTTCAAATACACAGTTTAATCAAAATTAAAGGCAGGAAACGATAAAATCCATGAAGTTATTAATAAGAAAATCCAATAATTTTCGAGGTTCGACCAGAAAAAATTGATTGACTGGATCTTGACTCAGGATAACAGGAAAGTAGACAGGATTTAAACAGGTTTCAGGTTTTCCAGATGATTCCAAATTTACTCTAAATAGACAAAATTTCACAATATTAGTTATTAAATAATACAATAATAAATATTCCCCATTCTTGGAAAATTCGTGTAACTTCCAGAGAGTAAAAAGGGACTAAATCAATAAATTTTTAATTTTAAAAATAAAAATTAATTCAAATATAAATTTATGACTTACAACAATTTTGATCAGCAATTAATTAATCTGCAAGATTCACAAATAACGAAAAAAAACACTTCGGGTTATGATCCATGAAAATTATATAACTACATGTACATGTCATATTTTTCTTCCCCTTGCTTATGTAACTGTGTTCGAATCGTGGTAGTCGTTTCCGACCCAATTGCTTAACAATTTATAACACACTGGTATATCTCGTCAGATAATATTTGGACCTACTTCATCTAAATTTTTGTAACTTACAGTGGACCTTCTTGAGGTTGGGTAGTATCAATATTCTACAGTAAATTTCAAGGTTTTTATAACTTGAAACTTTTTCTTTTGTAACTCTCTTCCAAAAATGAACAAAAACAATCTCGAAGATGTATTTAAATTTTGCATAACCTTATGACAGAAGTGATTCTTTTGAAAATTTAAATAAAAAACTTTAAAAAAATAACCCAAAAAAATAATAAATAAGGAAAATGATGGTTTTTTAGGTAATTTGGTATTTTTATTTTATTTTTTCGTATTTTTGTCAAATTTTTTTATGTTTTAATTTATTTTTAAAACATTTTGTTAGCTTTCGTTTATTATTATTTTAATTTTTTTATATCTTCGTAATTATTTTTATTTTATTTTTTGTATTTAAAAATGTTCCAATAATAAAATTAAATTTGGTTATATATTTCAAATTAGAGTCACTGAAATTTTAGATATTAATATACAAATTAATTACATTAGGAGTAAATGAAAAGCTATTGAAAGTAAAATTATAAATGATACTTGATGTAACTGTCATTGAAAATTGTAGAAATCTTTATATCGGTCCGTTATCTAAATGGTGAGTATATGAATAACCAAACCGACGGAATATGGAGATAAATCATATTACTAACTGCAAAATGCTTTAGCTGTTGATCATTGAAGGCATATCTGTGGACGCATCAAGGATTCTGTTACGGAAATTTAATGAATGTAGGATAGCTTTCAATCGAAATATTAAAGAAACCTCATATTTTTGTTGCACTTAATATAGTTACAAATTGAAAAAAAGAAATTTAATAAATATTTAATGTAACAATAATATTGCGAAAACAATTATCGAGAAAATATACCGTAACAATATTGGTAAATTTATTAACATTTCATTTCGTAGTAAAATCATTCATAAGTTAAAAAAAGTACTCTTATTTCTCGTAGAAGGACATAATTGAATTTTACGTGAATGCTGATTTAAAGAATCATTTCCACGAAACATAAATTATGACTAAGTTACTTTGAGTCCCAATGGTAATACATTACTTTTCCCATCTTCTTTTTTTTAATTAAATAGAGAACAGTTTATCTTGTAATATGTAACGCATGTATAATTAAATGAAAACGAAAACTTGGTTGAAACTTTTTAGAGGAGAATGAGTTTCTTGATGCTTTGGGGCTTTAGAGTGTATATTCTCAGCTACAATACATATAAGCTTTTCAAAGTTTCTCATATTTTCGATGCTTCTTAGTTGTTCACTTTACTAATTGGAATTGTTTTGTTTATGATAAATTTATTCATTTTTAATTTCTTTCTAACATTTTTCTTCTTTAATTTCTTCTAAGGCTCTTTATAAATCAACCTCTATAATTTTAGTACTTTCATTTTAATCCTATTAATTTTAATATACATAGCGATTCTTTTAGTATGGTGTCAAAAACCCAGAGTACCCTTTGAGGGTTAACTGCTTCTAGAAATCATTAACTTGTAAATCTCTTAACCATATTATTGACAATATCTCAAAAATTCGAATTGGTAAGAGTTTCATTGGATAATTTTTAATAAATCACTATATATAAACTGAATAAAATTGAATTATTAATTTTGATAAATTTTAATTAACTTTAAAATAGAAATAGATTTTCTACTTTAATTTTGACATATAACAAGAGAATTTTCTGGGTTAAGAGAATCCAATAAATCATTATAAATGAAGTAATATTCTGATTTTGTAACATTAAAAGCAGATTTGTGATATTATTTATCAGAACCATCAAATTTGTGATGGCTCCTGTGGTATTTAACAATAGCAAATAGCTACGAGGGAGTTGATTAACCACAATAAGTTGGTCGCTTAAATGTTCCAGATGTATATATTCCTCCCAATAATAA